ACTCCTGGTGATTATTTTTCTGAAAGCTGTCCTATTTTTAGTTGACTTTTATGTCAGCAGAACCTGCAGAACTTGATCTCATCAGTATATCAGTGGAACAAAGCCTTTATTCATACACTTTATATTTTAAAGGTTAATGGAGTCACTCTGTTAAAGAAAAAAATTAACCTTTGGAACATTTAGTATTGTGCATGCTTTTTTTTTTTTTTTTTACCTAAGTGTGTGTATTTTTGTCAAGCACCTATTATGAGCCGGTGGATGTGTTTAATAAAAGCCTTTTTGTGCTAGTGAGTATCCTCCCCCAGTCGATGATAGGATCTGTATTGTCCTTGCTGCAGATACAGAGCATGTCCTCAAGTCCCTGGAGGAGAGGATGCAGTCGAAACCTGAGTTCATTAAGACTCCGTTTGACTTGTCGGTCTTTGAGGACTCCACTGCGCAGCTCATCTGCCATGTCACTGGTTAGACACATCACCATCATCAAATACACACACATTTGTCTCTTGTGAGGATCTTACATTTACATTCACGTTTATATTTACAGCATTTGGCTAACGCCCTTATCCAGAGCAACTGACAGAAGTGCTAATTTATCCTCATGCTTGTTAAATCAAGTCCGGATATAAGAATACCATGAAGAATAATACTTTTTTGCACTTTTAAAATTACAGTGCATAAGGTATATTGCACAAGCAGTGCTAAAAGGAACTTTTATATATTTCCATATTTGTAGATATTTATCTCTCTTTATGTCTCCGTTAGTTCATTTTCAGTGGTTATTAAAGTACACTGACTGGTCCATCAAGGTGTGTACAGAAAAACATAACAAAAAAGCCATTCTAATCCAATTCCCATCTCTCTCTCTCTCTCTCTCTCTTTCTGTGTGTGTGTGTGTGTGTGTGTCACAGGTTACCCAGACCCTGAAGTGCTGTGGCTGAGGGATGGTGAGGTGCTAGAGGAGCAGGACGGCTGTGTGCAGGTGGATTATGAGGAAGATGGGATTTGTGCCCTCACACTGGACAGCGTCACCCTGCAGCACAGTGGCACGTACACCTGCAAAGCCACCAACGTCCACGGGGAGGCGCTCTGCTCTGCTAAAATCACTGTAGTGGACCGGGACAAACACACGGATTGATGAAATATTTGTACACTTAGATAGTTACATATATATATTAACTGTCTCACAGTCTCTGTCACTTTTTATATCCCTCTTTATTCAACTGCAATTTTAATATACACATAAACAAGTTTATTTTCTGTAACCGGGGGACATCAGATTGTTGGGCAGAATGTCTAGTTTATTTTAAATTTAATACAATATGAATGCAGTGCTGAAATTGTAATTTTAAAAATCTGAAAATCCATATCATTTTCAGAAATCTGTAATTGTGATTTTGATCGTTGAGAGCAGTTATTACAGATTATTCACACATCCATTTGGTACCTTTTAAATCTCACTTTGAGTTTACAGATTTTACACCATTTGCATCCAAGTTGAGTGTGATTTGTTTTTGTGAACAATATGTAACATGGATTACACTAACCATACTCTGGTAATATTCACAATGGCAGATTTACAAAAAAAAAATGGATTTGACCAAAAAAAACTCTATAAATGCCACATCACTAACACTCATTATACACCGAAATGCCATTATACACCGAAATATATTGTTTTTATTAAACATCCGCATAGCTAAAGGCCATGACGTAAATAAATCAAGCTGCATAATGTGGAACTAAGCATGGGCAAACTAAAGCTAAGTCCTTTTACATACTCTTTGCAAGCCAACACGCACAACAACGCAAGGGACTTGCCTAAGGAGTAGGGTTTCCACCTTCGACATATTAAAGTAAGGAACAACACCTGTCCTACACCGAATAAAATCCTACATTTAAAACATTTACCTGCCTCAGTGGATGTAATTGTATTCTTGTATTATTTCAACAACATCTAGAATCATAGAAGAATGATTTGATGTTGATGTTGAAGTTATTGATATAGAATATTGAATAGATGGCCTTGGGTTTTTTTTATAAGTAAAAAACATTTTAAATATCCTATCCTATTAATGAATTATAATATATAGGATTCAATAGATAGGGTTATTTAGTTAATAATGGTTAATATTAATGAATTATTAAATAAATCTGTCTAATAATATTAACCTTCAGTCTCTACTTCTACTAAAGAGAGATGATTTGATCTAGATTTATTGTCACATTACAGTATATTTATATATATTACCATTTTAACATATTCTACTGTATAACCTAGGTTCTGAGATTAGAATAGGACAAATAAGGGCTAACAGAAACTAAATTCAATTAACTAATACGAAATTAAAGTGTCTGCCTTATTATGTAATAACATTTGTTATACTGATTATACTGATAGTAGAAAAGTTTTTTTTTTTATCACATTTTACTGGATACCAGCTGCTGTGATGAGAAACAGGATTAGCCAATTGGGATGTTGCATTTTTCCCTGTATCTGTTTCAAAGCTCCTCGCCAAATAGCTGCACTATAAGCACAGAGATATGGAGGTGAGAACATGTGAAGTAGAAAAGTAGATCAGGATTTATAATATAAGCTGTAATTTTCCCCTATTATTAACACGTTTTTAGTCATTTTTGGTTATTTGTTATTAAATATAGAAAGACTGCTTGACAATAGATTGTGCCTTAAATTATTAAAATAACACATTTGTGTCATCACGTCACCGTTCCTACTGCTGTCTGACGTCTGCCTGCAATGCACGAGCGCATCATACTTACCTATTAAATTGTACAAATGAGAAAAACAATCGTGATTTTATTTATTTCATCCCACCAAAATTAATTTCTGGTTACGCCACTGCCAACACAACACACGACGGGCTTCTGAATCAGTCTTAGACACGAGTGTGACTTACATCAAGTACAGCACAATGCAGCCTGAATTCAGACCAAGGTCAAGCGAGCCACAGTAGAAACCAGAGTGCACATATAACTGTAACGATAACTGCACTTTGGATATTTTAAAAAGCGGGAAAAAGGTTGGCACATGCTCTGAGTACACGGCCAAGGGCTTTGTGTGTGTGTGTGTGTGTGTGTGTGTGTCCGTGTGTGTGTCTTCAACAGTATTCTTCTTACCTCATTTGTAGACAGTGTATTTCTTTTTGCTGGGCAGCAAATTTCACATAATCAAATAAAATGTTACTTAATCCGAGAACCTGCTACAGTTTAACCACAAGAGAGCATAATATCACTCACATGGCTGACAGAACAGATGGACATTTATGTAAATTTAACATGTTCTTTGCTTGCCCATGAAATCCAAATCCTAGCCATGACAATGCTACACAATGTTTTTTGTATTCAAATCAGTAGTCACAGATCATTAATGTTCCACAGCAGTGAAGACAAAACATAACACCAGTGACAGTCTTTCATCTGCTGTCTTTGCATCTATATGTTCATGGAAAAAAGGGGCGGGGTTTTGTTGGGTCATGAAATAAAATGTTTGCCACCCATGTTGTCTGGTCACAATACATTTCTGAAGACGAAAAGGTCTATTAAAGAATAAAAGGACTACGTGGATTAAAGACAGAAATGGACAATTCTTCGCTAAACCAACAGCAAAACTGGACTGTCAGTTTCTGCGGTGAGCGTTACATTACCATTTATTTTGTGATGGATATTATTCTACTTCTCTTCAGCTTTCCCACCACCACTGCTGTTATCTTAATACTTCTGAGCAGAACATATAAAGCGAAGAGCTTCTCACCAGCCGAAGTCTTTCTCCTACAAATCAACTTCATTAATCTGTGCCTTTTCGTCCATAATTTGCTGTGTTTTCTGAATAACGTGCAAGTCATTCAGTTCTCTATGATCCTTTACAACCTGTTCTACATCCCGAGCTTAACAGCAAGATCCATCTTCTTACTCGCCATCTGTGTGATCTTTTACTTAGCCATCGTTCATCCAGTGACCTACATGACTGCCAAAACCTTGCGCCATTGGGAGTGGCTGGTCATCACACTCGGCTGGCTCTACGCCTTGGCCATGGATGTAGCCATTATTGTTTTCGAAATTGACCTTTTTCAACCCATTCTCACAGTGTTGTTCTGCATCGCAATCCTTCCCATTATGTTCTTCAACACCGCCACACTGAAGGTCCTGTCTTCCAGCGGACCCGGATATGGCAAACAAACTCTCAACCCAGCTAAAAGGAAAGCCTTCCGGATCATTCTGAGCATCCACGTGATCTTGCTGCTGTACTACGTGCCCCATTTGTACTTCTACGGCTATTTTTTCATAGTACCAGCAGACATGGAAAGATTTGTGTGTGCTGAGGGCTTGGCAATAATGATGCTGCCTCAGTTTTCTGAGTTTGCGATGCCTGTAATATTCCTATACAGTTTAGCTAAACTAGGTATCGATCACAATTAAGACTTGAATTTTTGTCTTTATCTTGGTGTATTTATGCTATACTAGATCTCTAAAGTAGCTAAAAGCAATATCAGCCCAGAAAGCTCATCAGAGTGTATCAGGCCCCCTCTACTCCATCTATCAGTGGGATGGATCCCCCCCAATTTGTATTGTGGATCAATTTCAGCACAGCAGTGACACTGACACTGTAGTGAAGGATCACACAGTCTCCAGTAGAGATGTGCACAGGACTGTTTTTTTAATCCCACTCCCAATCCCACTCCCAATCCCAGTGGGCCCTGTGGATTCCCAATCCTGATTCACACCTCTAGTCTACAGTTTTCCACTATCCAGCTTTGTTATGACTGCAGATTAGACTATTTATGATCCACAAGTCTCAAGATAAGGTCACAGTTAGATTCAATTTAGATTAAGTCAATTCTTAAACGATTTTACTGCATTTTTTGTTAAAATTGTACACCATGAAGTAGAAGTAAATGTGCTATATTTTGGCACTCCTTTTCAATATACACTTGAGAGCAAAGGTTTGTACCCCCTTGGTTTCCAAAATGTATCTACAAAACAGAACTTCTTAGCATTTACCTTCATTATTAAACTCAAAAAGTTTGCATCCCTGTTGGCATGCTGTAGTTAGATTCAAATTTACAATAATACATGTGAATAGAAACACAAGGTGTTTGCTGTCCCATTATGAGTCAACGGGAAAACAGCTCGCACATGCCCTGAACCAGAAACCTTTTTTACAGAACAGGGAAAGGGGATTAAAACTCATTCATATCTTTAGGAAGAGCGAACCATTTATTCAGGAATGAAAGTAACACAGACAAAACCCACGACCATGGAGGACAAGATAATTAGTAAAATTAGCAAAAAATTAACAAAGACTATCTTCCAAGACAAATAGTAGGAAACCTGAAAAAGTGTGTAGAGTGGATTAAAAGTGGACAATCATTACATTTAACATGCACTACTTGTTTTTGTTACTTGTAATAATGAAAATAGATGTGTAAACCTTACCATGCATTAAATGGATTCGTGATTACAAAGTAAGGGTATGCAGACTTTTGCACTCAGTTGTAATATGTATTCCAGTTGGATTACATTGGGTTAAAATATTTTATCTGTTTAAAAAAATGCTATGTAATTTGAGAACCTGCTACAGTTTAACCATTAAAGAATATAATATCACACACATCGCTGAGAGAAGAGTTGGACATTATGTAAATCTCATGTTTTAGCATGCCATTAGCAGGGATTAAACCAATAAAGTACAGTTTCAGTGTTTGATGATGGTTCTAAATATGTTAACATGAGTACTTCATTTACAACTTCTCTCATCTGCTGTCTTTGCATCTATATTTTAATTATACTATATTATAAACTAGTTGGGCTTTTGTGGGGTCATGAATGAAAACAATTCTCTAGTCAAATAAGTTTGTGTACAGATTGTCCTTGACATTTGTGTATCAATTTTATTCTAAATGTTATCATGTGAATGTAAAAGCATTCATGTCATTCATACTTCGATTTGTTACATAATTGTTGCAAAAAATGTTTATTAAAATGTAAAATGTAATGTTTATTTTAAAAAAAAAATAAAAAATCTGAGGACCTAGGAGTAGAAGTGCTGTAATTTCATGGCTCTTTTCAATAAACGAAGTAGTGCAAAAGTTTGTAACCCCTTGGTTTCAACAATTTATCTACAAAACAGAATTCACTCAGCAGTTACCTTTATTAGCAAACTCAAAGGTTTAGACTGAATTTGACATGCTGAAGTTAAATTATTTGAATTCGCCTCATTAATGTATCTAATGATGTTGGAAATGTCTCATTTAAGGCATGAAATGTTCAAACAGACCCAAACTCTAAAGTTGTGAGCAGTACAGTTAATAAAGGCAATGAAAAAGAGCTCTCACTTGCCTTAAAATTAAAAATGTTCATGTTTTACTTGGTCCAGTTGGTGAACGTGGTGTACTGTCTACCTGAAATTTACCTAGAGGTTTATAGTTGTATGCAATAGTTTTTTTTTTTATGTCTCAATGTCCTCCTTTTGTTGCCCAAGATCTCTTGACTTTCAGCACAGTGTATCAGAATCTACAGGATATTATTCTATCTAGCCTTGTTGGGAATACAGATTAGACTATTTATAAGGCACTAGAGGAAACATTTTTGCCTAAACATACGTACACAATTGTCAGGATAAAATCAAGGTTGGATTGAGGCCAGATTAAACAGAGTCTTCAATGGTTTTACTGCTTTTTTTTGTTAAATGGTTTTTGTTACTTGGTAATTTGAATAAAACTATGTAACACAGGTGACTCAGATGAGGTGTGCAGAATATTTACAGACAATGCCAAAACTAATTCAAAACTCAATCTCAAAATATAGTCCAAAAGTCAAAGTCAAAAAAGGAGAAGGTGTCGAAATAATGCTAAATCCAAAAGAGTAATCCCAACAGGCCAGGATCAATAACTCAGAACATGGACAATCTGATGCTAAACCAACAGCAACACTGGACTATCAGTTCCTGAGGTGAGCCTTACAATACAGTTTATTTTGTGATCAGTAATAACCTACTTTTCTTCAGCTTTCCCACCACCACTGGGGTTACCATGAAACCTCTGAGCAGAATATATACTACAAGGAGCTTCTTGCCCGGCTGAAGTCTTCCTGCTACAAAATCATCTTTCAAAATTATTTGAATTTGCCTTAATAATTAATAACATGTCTAATTACCTTAAAAAAAAACAACGCACATGCTTTGTTTTGCTTTGTCATGTCTAATTTAAGGCACAAAATGTTTAAATAGACTCCTAGTTAAGACCTGTTAAGAGGTAAAGCGAATCAGAAAAAATAGCTTTCACAAATGCTAAACCAGATTTTTTTTTTTTCTGAAACTGGCAAAGGGAATTAAGACATTCATATATTTAGGGGGACTGTCAGTAAAAACAATCACTCAGAAATGGTAGAAACACATACACATACCCACAACCACTAGTAAAAAAAATAAAATTAACATAAGAAATAGTAAGAGACCTGAAAAGTGCTTAAAAGCTAGTGCAAAGTACAAGTAGAGAGCCATTGAAATGCAGGTTTTTTTCCATATCCCAGCTTGCTAGGAAGCTGGGGTTAGAGTGCAGGGTCACCCATGATACAGCACTCCTGGAGCAGATGTGGTTAAGGGCCCAGCTTGACAGTGCTGGGGCTTGAACCCTTGACCTTCTGATCAGGAACCCAGAGCCATAACCATTCAGCCATCACTGTCCTCCATGCACATGCCATTTCACCAGGTCACCTGAATAACATTACTGCTCTTGTCATCTGTGTATCTGCGTGGGAATCTTTTTCTTTTTGCTGGGCAGTAATTCATTCCCATGTTCCTCTTTCAGCTGCTCCCATTAGGGGTTGCCACAGCGGATCATTGGTCTGCATATTTGATTTGGCACAGGTTTTACACCAGATGCCCTTCCTGATGCAACCCTCACCAGTTTTATCCAGGCTTGGGACTGGCACTGAGAGAGCACTGTTGCATGCAACCCCAGTGGCTGGGGTCGGTTCCCTGGCCAAGAAACGAACCCAGGCCGCAGTGGTGAGAGCGGTGTGGCCTAACCACTGGTCCTCCAGGGACCCTCAGTAATTCATTCCCATAATCAAATAAAATGCTATGTAATTTGATAATCTACCACAATTAATCCCCAGGAAGACAGAATATCATGCATATGGCTGACAGACAGATATCATGTAAATGTTACACATCTGTCACTGTTTGCAGATGAAACCATGACAATTTTACACGATATGTAGTTTTATCCAAATCAATCAGGCAGCAGGTCATTAATGTGCTGCAGCAAAGAAGGGAAAAGTCATGATGTTGACAATAGGAATTGATGACAGTAGTACCTAATGTAACTTCCTTCGTCTGCTGTTTTTGCATGTATATTTTAATGGACAAGAGGGGTGGGGTTTGTGGGGTCATGAAATAAAACTTGTGGCACCCAGGTTGTCTGGTTACATACATCTGTGAAGATAAAAGGTCTGTGAAAGCAGAAAAGGACTACATGGATTAAAAGAGATAAAGGTTGGTCTTCAGAATGGACAATCTGACTCTAAACCAAGAGCAAAACTGGACTATCAGTTCCTGCAGCGAGACTTACAATACCATCCATGTTGTGCTGAATAATATCCTACTTTTCTTCGGTTTTCCCACCACCGTAACTGTTATTGTAAAAATTCTGAGCAGAATATATAAAACAGGGAGCTTCTCGCCAGCTGAAGTCTTCCTCCTACAAATCAACTTCGCTAACGTGTGCCTCTTCATCGCTCTGTTGCTGCTTTTTCTGGAAGTCGTGCATGTCGGTCAGTTCTCCATGACCCTTTACATGGTTTTCTTCAGCCCATCCATAACAGCAAGGCCCATCTTCTTACTCGCCACCTGTGTGATCTTTTACTTAGCCATCGTTCATCCAGTGACCTACATGACTACCAAAACCTGGATCCATTGGGAGTGGCTCGTCATTACACTCGTCTGGATCGGTGTCTTGGCCATAAATGTAGCCATTATCTTTAACAAATTTGACTTTTCTCACCCTGTCTTCGTGGTCGTGTTCTTCATGAACCTACCTATAACCATGTTCTTCAACATCGCCACGCTGAGAGCCCTGTCTTCCAGAGGACCTGGAAATGGCAGTAAAACCCTCAACCCGGCCAAGAGAAAAGCCTTCCAGATCATTTGGATCATCCTAGTGGCCTTGCTGCTATACTATGTGCCCCGAGCCTACGTCTACATCTATCCTTATATAGCACCAATGGACTGGCAGAGGTTTCAGTGTTCAGAGGGTCCTGTGATTATGATGCTGCCTAAGTTTTCTGAATTTGTAATGCCTGTAATATTCCTGTACAGTTTACGTAAACTAGGTGTCTAATCACGCCTGCAAACTCAAATTTTTGTCTTTATATCAATGTATTTGTTATAATAAAGCTTTAAAAATGAGCTAAAATCAATTTGCTTCTCACTATAATTAATCCATGCCTTAACTGAGAAGCTTTAGAGCAACAATACACTAATGAACTCTTCACTGTTTTGATGGCAACAGATAGAAATAGAAACAGCCATCAAACTTTATCAAAGCTAAATCATGTCCAGCTGTTGCCAGTGGTGTTCCGTCTATTTCAAATCTGCTTTCATACCTAGACATCAACAGTTTTTCATTTTCTTCTGTTGTTGCCCAAGATGCCTTGATTGTCACAGATTTTCCTTGACACCTTGGATATGCATTTTATTATAAAAACTATAACGTGAATGTAAAATCTCATGTAAAGTCTAATTGCTGCATAATTGTAGCAAATAAACATGTAGTTCATTTTTATATTTTCTCATATGTTTTGTAGTTTTTATGTCTCATGTCTATGTCTGTATGGGTTTCAAGATTATTATTTTACATCCAAGTCAGACATTTTACTGCTGCAGCTGATGGAACATTTGATTTTTAGCATCCAGGGGGAATTTACCTTAGCACCCAAAAAAAGGTGTAATGCATAATTGCAGCATGAAAAATATGTAGCGTGAAGATTGTATTCTTAATACTCGAGTAACAATAATAAGTCCAGATTTACGAATCTGAATATGGATTTTACCAAAAAAAAAAAAAAAAAGAAGTCCATTAATGCCACATCACTAACACTACACTAACAGCTTTGGCTCATTATACAATAAAATGCCAGGTTCGATATGCTATTTTTATTATCCATGTTTATACAGAAGGCTGTGACACCAATAACACATGCTATCTAACATGGAACTTAGTCTTTATAGTATTTCAAATTTTCTCTCTACAGCACGTCAAACTCAAGGCCCGCAAGCCAAACACTGCCTATTGTTGAATGGCCTGTAATACCTACTACTCAACATTTCCACACTATCGCCAATTCACACCAGACTCAAAATCCTGACATGTATAACCCAGTGTAGAGACCTGTAAATGTGTTGAAAAAAAAGGAAAGTCAACCAGGAGGACAATAAAAAAAAAGCAGTCAACAAGTCTTTTTTTTTTTTTTCCAAAAAAGTAAAAACAGATTACTGTAGTACACAAAATGATAAAGTTATATATTATATTTACTAGTGATCACTGTGTGTATAACTTTATACAGATTATACTGTAAGTTATTGGTGTTAAGTAATAGAATAGATTATAATGCATTAAAAATGCTAATAACCCTAGTTTATGGCCCTTCCAAGATTCACATAAATGCTGAAGTGTCGCAGGGAGAGTTTGAGTTCGACCCCCTGCTCTACAGCTAAACCTAACAGTTCTATTATACAGAGTGTACAGTATTAGTTTGGGGTTTTTTTGCTAGATGTTTTGTGGGCTCTCATCTATGAGACAACTTCAGTTGTGGATCAATTTCACCATAGCAGTGATGCTGAGAAATGGACTGCAATCAGAATAGAAGTATCATATAGTCTACAGAGTAATCGTGCTCTTCCACAGTTATTTTAGTTTGTGCATGCTTGCATTATTTTCTAATGAACTTAGTTGGTTCTATTTCACAAAATATAAACAAATTTGCAATTTAAACCACATCAATACTAACCAGGATAAGAGATTTACTGAAGATAAATTGATAATGTGTGTAAATGCAGTGCTGCACGAGCAGCCCACCCTGTCCAGCATGCTCCCATGTTAAAGAGCATGGCCTTTCACTGTCCCAAGGGCTTTTTGCACTATTTGCAGGGCCCTTTTTAAATATACAGTTGAGTGCAAAAGTTTGTACCCTCTTGATTTTAACAATATTTTATTAGCAAGCTCAATTTCTATTAGCAAGCTAATCTAGTTAGATTATTTGAATTTGCCTTGTTAAGGTGTCTAATAAGAAAACAGTGCACAAGTTTTAGCTTACTTTGTTAGTAAAAGACAACAACAAAACATTGGAAAAAATTCACAAAATTCCAAGACAAGTAGTAGGAGACTTGGAAAAGTCTTTAGAGACATATGCAATTAAAGTCCACATATAATTTAGCTTAATATACACTGCTTGTTTTTGTGATAATGAAGGAAGATCTGTAAAATGTACATTAAATGGTTTCATCACTACAAAGTAAGGGTTGGAAAACTTTTGCACTCACTAGTAATATGTCCTCTAGTCATAGGGTTAAAAGTATTTTAGCTGGTTATTTGAATAACATTCATTCCCTTGTCGTCAGTGTATTTGTATGTCGCTCTTTTTCATTTTTCGGAGCGGTAATTTATTACTGATTTTATTATCAAATAAAATCCTATGTAATTTGAGAATCTGCTGCAATTTAAAAACAAGAGAACAGAATACCACATACAGCTGAGAGAACAGACAGCATTATGTAAATTTTACACATCTTTCATTGTTTGCACATGAAATCCTAACTATAATCTTTCTAAATGTTTATTTTTATACAAATAAATCAAGCCACGGTCATAAAAAATTTTCAAAAATGTAAAAATCTGATGCTAAATCAACAGCAAAATTCGACTCTCAGTTCCTGCAGTGAGCCTAACAATACCATTTACTCAGTGCTGAATGATATCCTACTTTTCTCAAGTTTTCCAACCATCATCATTACCGTGAAACTTCTGAACGATTATATAAAGCAAGGAGCTTCTCACCAGCTGAAGTCTTCCTCCAACAAATCATCTCTCATTTGCTGCTTTTTCTGGATGTCGTGTATGTCGGTCATTTCTCTATGACGAATTTTCTGGTTTTCTTCAGCCTGAGCTTAACAGCAAGGCCCATCTTCTTACTCACCATCTGTGTCATCTTCTACTTAGCCATCATTCATCCAGTGACCTACATGACTGCCAAAACCTTGCACCATTGGGAGTGGCTGGTCATCACACTCGGCTGGCTCTACGCTTTGACCATATTTATAATCATCATTTATGAAATTGACATTTTTCAACCCATATTCATGGTGTTGTTCCACATCACCATTCTTCCCAGCATATTCTTTAACATCGCCAAGCTGAGAGCCCTGTCTTCCAGTGGCTCTGTAAATGGTGGACAAACCCTCAACCCGGACAAGGGAAAAGCCTTCCGGATCATTCTGAGCATGCTTGTGGTCTTGCCGCTGTACTACATTCCCAGAGTGTACTTCCTCATCTATCCTTATATAGCACCAATGGGCTGGCAGAGGTTTCTGTCTTCTGAGGGCCTGGTGATTAAGTTCCTGCCTAAGATTTCTAAGGTTGCGATGCCTGTAATATTTCTGTACAGTTTACATAAACTAGGTGTCTA